TAATGTGGTGTTGAAACATGTAATGAACCACTCAATGACACCCCGTTAGGCCATATGTCTGCCCAACCCCCTTCTTCCCTTCTTCCTTTCTTGTTCTAGCTTGTTTTGCTATCCTTTCTCCTTCTCCCTAGCCTCACCCATCATTACATCATAGTGGCTCACCAAACTGTGGCTGAGGTCCAGATCAAGACCTATATATGGCTCACCGTTCAGGGAGCCTTGTTCCCAATCAGGACTCTAGGGCGGCCATGGCTGCCCTTCGACCTCTCGTTCAGTGGCTAAAATCATATGGACTCATATCTGGATTTTTCTTTTTTCTTTTTCTTTTTCTTTTTTTTTTGGTTGAAATTTTGCTTTGAACCCAAGGGCAAATGAGAGGAACTGATGAAAAGGTGAAAGCATATGAGAGGTAAAGAAGGAAGAAGGAAGAAAGAAAGAAATCTAAGGAAAAAAGAATGTAGCAGAGAATAAGATGGAAAGGAAAGAGTTTGAGAGAGATCTAAAAGTTTAATACTTAATATTTATTTAAATTCAAAATTTTTAAATTTACGTTCACATGTTAAATGTATATTTATTATATTTTTATTATTAACTTACATAAAAAAATAAAAGTTAATTTTAGTTTTATCAATTGTCCAAATAAATCGTTTCTTATGGGCGTTTGTGTTAAAAATAAATTAAACTTTACTTTCATAATTTTTCATATAAATTAATGATAAAAAAGTATAATAAATGTATTTTTAACCTATGTCACAAGTTAAAAAAAAAAACCATTTAAATTATTTTATTTTATTTTTATTGAATTTTTGGTAAAAGTCAAAATTTTTTTCTTATTAGTTATAATTATTCTATTAACTAAATCATTTAATGGTTGATTAATAAATTATTTCAATTTATTAGAATTAATTTTTAATTGTGAGTCCCACAAATTGCGCTACATCAGCAATCAAAAAGGAACATTTCAGGGCTATTAAAAGTTTTAGGATAATTAAATAGCAACTTTCAAAAACTAATATAACAACTCAACACTTTTCCTTCATTTGGGATCTTATTTGAAAATTTTCAATGATTTTAAAACCTTTATTGAGTATAATAAAATTTTGAGACTTCAAGTGCTAAATTTGTGCAAGTTTTGGGACCTTCCCCCCTACTTTAGCCTTTTTAATTTGGTTTATTGTATCGAGTTTATTTTTTTTTATACTTGAAACTCCGGTGTTGACGTTTGGTTCTAAATTGGCCTGCTGGCTGAGCGCTGGCTGAGCACTGGTATAGAATGCTACAGTCATATAGGTCTTGGGTTCGAACGCTGCATGTAAAAGAAAGGTACAAAGATCTACTTTCTATAGAACTTTTTAATACTACGAAAAAAGACCCCATATCACTTGGAATCAACTCTATTGTGAGTGCAAATAATATAGTTACAATATTATAAAATATTGTAAATTTATAATATAATATATTATTATTTAATTATTTTTTACTTAAAAATTTATTTATGATATTATATATATTTATTTAATAGCACATTTTAACTGTAAATTTATAATTCTATAAGGTATTGTAACTATAACATTACTTATTGTAATAGATGATTTGTTCTTAAAAACATTATGTTATAACTCCCTAATAATTAGCTGGTGGCTTTTATCTTGGAAATGTTATGTGATCATGCATTACATTTGTTACCGTAAAATCTGGCGTTAGGTGTAGTGCGTGCAACTTGCAAGACACGCTATTGTTGAGCTGCCCCAACCTTGAGTTTCGCTAAATTGCTTGTCCAGCATTTGTCCGGGTCAACATGATCCATGCTATGACTGTACAATCTCTAACAACTACTACTCTCAGCATGACCAGGGAAGGGAAAAATTATTACATTAATCTATCCATTTCCTCAAATTCTAGTGATGATGCTCGTTATCGAAGCGTGTTTGGGGCTCTTCAATATCTCACACTAGCTTGCTTGCCCTCCGCTATGTCCTAAACGCACTCAATTGTATCTGTGTCAATTTATAAATGCTTCTAGAATTGAAAATTATCAAGCTAATCAGCAAGTGAAGTCAAATGAAAAGAATAGAGTTGAGCAATTCAAAGCAGCAAAATGATTGAACAAAGATTAGCATCAAATGGAATCTCAAAAAAATCAATATATTGTACATAGTTGTTGGGAAATTTATGTCAATTAGCCATTGGAGAGACATCAAATGAAATCTCACAAATATTCAAACGCATCCATATATTCGTTGAAGACTTTATGTTAATTAGCCGTTGGAGACTTCTTTGCTATATCAAACTCAAACCTGCACAAAATGAGATGTTACTTCTGGCAATCAAACACCCCTATAGGATGAGGTGACTCCCATACTCTAGAGTGTAAAGGTTGGTGGAAACTCTCTTTCTCTACCCACCTAATTTATGGAAAATGCTAAGAATTGAAGCTGTGGGATATGTGAGCACCTAACATGATTTTACAAACTGAACTTACTCTCACACTAAATGTAAAAATTGTGAATTGTGGCAATATTAGAAGACCTAAGCCTACGCCATTGTAGCAGTCTTGTTTTGCTTGCACCGACGAGAAAGTGAGATGTCCACATCGTTTAGGTGTCTCATGGTTGACATAATTTGGATTTGGGTTAGCTCTTGTCATGTTACCAACATGGACCAGGGAGTATTACGGAGGTTACAATGCTCATTAGGGTTTAAGAAACCTTTAAAGTAAAGACAAAAATTAGGGTAGGGGTGGGGGAGGGGGAGCAATGAGGTTGGCTTATATGGTAAGGAGGAAAATTTTGATAAAATGCAAGTTCAAAGCTCTCAATTACTGTTTTGGTGTGTCAAAATAATTTTAACAAGTCAAACTTACTCTTTAAAATAGATTCACCTATATTTGTGGATGGCTATAGATGGTACAGCATAATTTGTACATACTGGTACGAAAACCTCTCATTGTTGGAGTATTACGTAGTCCTAATTGAAGTAGCAAACAAAATCTAAAGTCTCTCTTCTTTAATTAATTTCAGATAGTATATTCACTGCCTGACTTTTTTCCACTCTGCTGACCTCTGCGCTTTTGCTTGATTCATTAGTCACAGAACGGTTCCTAGGACATATTTAAATGCATCTTTTCGTTTGCATTTATTTAAATGCATCAGTATAGCAAGGACAAGGATGATATCCGTTAGCAAAAATTATAAATTTGTCGTATATTATATCCATTTCTTTTCTTTTAAATTTATTTATTTATTTATCTTTTGATCTTGTTTCTTTTGTATTTATTTAAATGTGTTAGTATAGTAATGACAATATATGCCCTTTTGGCGTGTCTTTTTCCTGCTCTGTGATTCGGAAGCATTATTGGTTGGAATAATCAAATATATGGTAGTTTATTTTTTTTGAAAATAGGTAATCAATATATGGTAGTTTATTTAGTCTAACATTTACTAAAGTATCTGCCTCCTTTTCTTTGCAACCTGTACCCTCATATCAGAATAAGGGTCCCAAAGAAATTGTCCGGGCAAACAAGACGATGGCAGTGGCACCCTCTCTTACTGAAAAAGTTCAGAAGCTGTGGAATGCATGGAATATTAGGGGATTAATGATTGTAAGCCTCTCTCTGCAGGTGATCTTAAATCTGTTGGCACCAAAAAGAAAAGTTCAAAATGGCCGGGGCAAATGGATCATTGGGTTGATTTGGTTCGTGTATTCACTCGCAGACTGGGTTGCTACATCTACCATGGGACTCATCTTACACAGCAACAGTCACAAATCAGGCGGCCCTCCTATTGACATCATTGCCTTTTGGACACCCTTTCTCTTGGTGCACCTTGGTGGCCCCGACACCATTACCTCTTATTCTCTGCAGGATAATGAGTTGTGGCAAAGGCACTTTCTTACGCTCCTGTCACAGGTTTTTTCTACTATCTACGCCTTCTTTAAGTCCTCACCAAATAACGAGCTTTGGCTCGCAACCATCCTAGTGTTACTTGCAGGCATAATCAAATACTTTGGGCGGACCCTTGCTCT